AATTTTCAATACCACTATATCCCCAGAGCCTGGAATATCCCCTGGCAAAAAAAAACTCTCAGTAAAACTTTGAATAACAGACTGTCAAAAGAACTTATTAAAAAGGAAAAAAAAACTAATAAATGCCTGGCCAGTGTGGATCAGCAGTTGAGAATTGACCAATGAAGGTCAGGGTACATGCCGTGTTTCAGGCTTGATTCTTAATAGTTGGGCATGCAGGAGATGGCCAATCAGTGATTCTCTCTCATCAGTGATGTTTCTATCTCTCTCTCCCTCTCCCTTTCTCTAAAATCAACAAAAACATTTAAAAAAGAAAAACTGACCAAGCAAAACCTACAGACTTAGCTAGAGGACCACTAGAGGGCGCTCCAGCCCAGTAGCTAACAGGCTGGGGAACAGCGCCAAGTAAAAGCACTCATCCCCATGCAAGAGCCTCAGGATTCCCCTAGTACTTCCCACACTCCACGATGGCTCCAGGAGAGTAAATCCTAGCCACCTCCCTTCATATCACACCCCCAGGTCTTTCCTCTTCTGTGTATATGTTTTCTCATGTGTACAAGTCAACCCTCTGATCCAGAAGGTAGGATTGCAGGCTATCTATGTGCAGAGCAAGGAGCCTGCATGCTGGAACACTTAATAAATGTCACATTTTGTGCCTCAAATAAAGGAAATAGAATGTCACAGGCAGAAGGCTAGGCCTGGAATCAGGAGGTGCATTTCTAGACAGTTCTTTATATTCACTGTCAGTACATCAGGTCCCTAACATTGTGCTATAAGTTTAATAGGTAAACTAGAGGCCCAATGCATGAAATTCATGCAAGAGTAGGCCTTCCTTCCTCCAGCTGCCGGCACTGGCTTCCTTCTGGCACCCGGAACCGGGCTTCACAGACACCCAGGACCCAGGTTGTCTGGTCTAATTAGCATATTATACTTTTATTATTATAGAAAACAAAAATTGACTTTCAGAGTGCTAATCAAGGGTCACATAGGTCATAAGCAGATTTTGAACCAAGGACATTTTGTCTATAAAGCCCATGGAATTAACACTATACCATCAGCTTTGAGTTCAAATATGTCACTATTGAGAGCATTCATGCTTTCTGTGAGAGCCAGTGAGGCTAGCAGACTGAATGTTGGGGTTCAGCTGGAGTCAGGGGAAGGGAAAGAGACAGCGGTATATTGGAGCTCTTCTTGGGGGATTGGAGAGGGCAACGTCACCCCCACCCTTCTCACATTAAAAGCTGCTCTCAGGGGGAATCCAAGATGGCTGCACAGGTAAACACCTAGCTGCAGCCGCACACAACAATTTCAATAAAATACAACTAAAATATAAAATGGACATTACCCAGAACTACAGGAAAGTCAACTGACTGGAAATTCTACAATGAGAAGCAAGGAGAAAACCAGAAGGAAGAGCGGAGGAGCTGTAAAAGCCTAAGGTACGGAGACACGCGGCGCGCGCGGAGAGGACAGAGCCGGAGAGGAGGGAGGCCGAGTGCCTGGCTGGTGTTCCCTAGCGGGAAGGAGATAAAAGCTCCGACTGTGCTGGGCCCCAGTTCCGACTGCTCTGAACCCCAGTTCTAGGCCAGACCCCAGGAACCCAGGCTCACCCATAGGAAGCTGGGCTGTAAGGCGGAACCCCAGGGGAGCAGCGAAAGGAGGTCCCGGAGGCACGCACATTGCACGCAGAGAAGGGACAGTTGGCTGTGTCACGGGATTGCCCTGGCGGGAAGGAGACTGGGGCTCCAGACTGCCCTGAACGCCACCTCCAACTCCACTTCCAACTGAACTGAACCCCAGTTCCGAGCTCATTGGGGGAAGAGCATAGACTGTTTGGTAGCAGGCAAAAATCGAGGGCACCTTCTCTCAGAGGTGCTTGCAGCGAGTACTGAAGGACCCTGAAGATTACTGAGACTCAGGAACCACATAGGGTGGGGCTGACGGAAGCCAAGGCTGCAGGCTCCACCCTGAAACTCTGCCCCATCAGGGAAGCTGCGAAAATGCGACAATGAAATAGATCACAAATGAAAGAAATGGAGGACAAAAAGCGACTGGATATAGAGTTTAAATCTACGCTTATAAGGTTTTTCAAGAATTTCCTAGAAAAGGTCGATAAGGATATGAAAAGGGATCAACTAGAATTAATAAGGAATTAACGAGAAATGATAAGGGATCAACAAGAAATAGAGAATACATTGTCTGAAATAAAAAATATTATACAGAGTCCTAAAAACAGAATGGAAGATCGCAAGAATCAAGTCAAAGATTTGGAACATAAAGAGCCAGAAGTCACTCCTCCACAGAAGCTAGAAGGCAAGAGAATCCAGAAAATTGAAGATAATGTAAGAAACCTCTGGGACAACTTCAAGCGAACCAACATCAGAATTATGGGGGTCCCAGAAGATGAGAGAGAGCAAGATATTGAAAACATACTGAAAGAAATAGTGACAGAAAACTTCCCCACCTGGTGAAAGAATTAGACTTACAAGTCCAGGAAGCACACAGAACTCCAAACAAAAGGAATCCAAAGAGGACCACACCAAGACAAATCATAATTAAAATTCCAAGAGCAAAAGACAAAGAGAGAATATTAAAAGAAGCAAGAGCAAAGCAGGTAGTTACCTATAAAGGAGCACCTATACGATTGTCAGCTGACTTCTCAACAGAAACCATGCAGGCCAGAAGGGAATGGCAAGAAATATTCAAGGTGATGAATAGTAAGAACCTATAGCCAAAGATAATCTATCCAGCAAAGCTATCACTCAGAATCGAAGGTCAGATAAAGAGCTTCACTAATAAAAAAAAGCTAAAGGAGTTCATCACCACCAAACCAGAATTATATGAATTGCTGAAGGGGGTTCTTTCAGAAGAGAAAGTAAACAAAGATAAAAATTATGAACAACAAATACATAACTATCAACAAGTGAATCTAAAAACCAAGGAAATTAAAAAAAAAAAATCTGATGAACAATAGTAACTGTTGAATATAATAGAATCAGAGGTATGGAAGGGGAGTGAACTGACGATTCTTGGGGAAAAGGGGAGAGGGGGGCGTGGGAAGAGACTGAATATAAACTGTGCACCTATGGATGAGGACAATGGGGAGTGGGGAAAGGGCAGAGGGTGCGGTGGGAACCTGGTGGAGGAGAGCAATGGTGGGGGGAGGGAAGGAACATTTGTAATAATATGAACAATAAAAACTTATAAAAAAAAAAAAAGAATCGAAGGCCAAATAAAGAGCTTCACTAATAAAAAAAAGCTAAAGGAGTTCATCACCACCAAACCACAATTATATGAATTGCTGAAGGGGGTTCTTTCAGAAGAGAAAGTAAACAAAGATAAAAAATTATGAACAACAAATATGTAACTATCAACAAGTGAGTCTAAAAACCAAGGAAATTAAAAAAAAAATCTGATGAACAATATTAACTGTTGAATATAATAGAATCAGAGGTATGGAAGGGGAGTGAACTGACGATTCTTGGGGAAAAGGGGAGAGGGGTATGTGGGAAGAGACTGAACATAAACTGTGCACCTATGGATGAGGACAATGGGGGGTGGGGAAAGGGCAGAGGGTGGGATGGGAACCTGGTGGAGGAGAGCAATGAAGGGGGGGCGGGGAAGAAACATATGTAATAATATGACAATAAAATTTTTTTTTTAATAATAAAAAATAAATAAAAGCTGCTCTCAGCTGAGACCGGTTTGACTCAGTGGGTAGAGCGTCGGTCTGCAGACTGAGGGGTCCCGGGTTCAATTCCGGTTGAGGGCGTGTGCCTTGGTTGCAGGCACATCCCCGGTGGGGGGCGTGCAGGAGGCGGCTGATCAATGATTCTCTCTCATCGATGTTTCTGACTCTCTATTCCTCTCTCTTACTCTCTGTAAAAAAATCAATAAAATATATTTAAAAAAAAAAAAAAAAAAGCTGCTCTCAGATAAATCCCATTTGTTCACAAGCTCCTCAGCTAACTTGAAGCACTCTGAAGTTTGGGAATGACTGGGGTGATGAAGTATGGGCCTTGGACTAAGTAGGTTATAAAAATATTTAAATTGGGATTCTGAATATGGGCAGACTAATTCCCCCTTCCCCCTGCTTCATTTTCCTCTTTTGTGAAATGCAGAGAGTAATACTCGTCTAGATTGTGGTGCGATTTAAGTGATGTTTGCCAGTCAAACCTCTTGCACGTGGTGCAGGCACAGAGTTGGGCCTCAGGAGGTGTTTGTTTCCTTTCTTGTAGGGAATGCCAAAGACAGTTTACAGTTAGCACCTTTTCATTCAAAGAGAAAAGTTCAGATGGGAGATTATCAGGCATCAACTTGGGAGTAGAAGAGGTATTTGGGGTTGGGGATGGGGAAGAACATGTGGGGACTGAGGACCTTGATGAGTCACATTAAGTATAAGGGATTGTGGACACGAGTCACAATCCTCACCCCAAAGCAAGAAAAAGGCCCCAACACACTGCCTGCGCTGGGTGGATCCGCTCAGAACTAGGATTCGCCTGGGATTGCTTTCACACACACCCTCCCGATTTTTCCTCTAATCCACTTGTGCTGGCATCTTCTGCTGCCTCTTAAGATTCACTCTCCACCCTTCTCTGCCCTGCTCTGTGCCCCGGGAAGTTGGACTCTAAGGCAGCATCAATGGGCTGCCTTGTCCTTTGTCCTCCTGCTGGATTAGGGCACCAGGGAGCTGGGCAGGAGAGCAGAGGGCAGGAGGCCAGCGGAGCATGAGTTTCTACTTCCTATTCCCTCCTTGTGCCAGCCATATGGTGGCAGCTCCATATGGTGCCTCTCCACAGGTTCGTGCTCTTTCCCTCCTTTCCTCCTTCCCTCCCTCCCTTCCCTTCGTCCCTCCCTCTCTTCCTCATTCCCTCCCCCACCCCTGAATTCCAGTAACCACACTCCCAGTCTGCCCCAAATACCAAGGTTTCCCTTATGATTTTCCTATCTCTAGCCCACACCTTTAGAAATTGTCTCTTTATTAAACCTCCTCAAATTACCTAATTTGAGTGACACTGCCTGACCATCCATGAAGGCTGGTTAGGTCCAAGAAGCTGGCATCCTGCTGAACAGTGCTACTGTTCTTCAGTTGCCGCCAAAGGATCTCTTTGTTGTTTCTTGCTCTCCTGGCCAACACACAATACCTTCTAAGACATCTCAGGTGGACACACCCAGGGCCATTTGCAGAAGGGCAACCCCAGGGCACTCCCACCACTCTCCAGCTCCATTGTGTTGTTCCTGCTAGGGGAAGAAGATGATTACCAAGGAATTTAGCCTAAGAACCTACTCTTGAGGTCCAGGTAAAGAGTGCAGGCCCTACTCTGAGACAATAAAAATTTTTTATAAGCCCTTGAGCCCAGGAGCCATATTAAAACATGGACTCCACCACTGGGAATCTACATGTTAGCTCATATGTCCCATCATCATTACCCCATGATCTTTAGAGGCACTTGTGGTTTGTTTTTTTGTTGTTGTTGTTTTTTTTTTTTTTTTGTATGACAAAAGATTCCTGTATTTTCTGCCCCAGATCAAGATTCAATCCCATGTAATAAAAGGGCAATGCAAATAGATCAAATGCCAGAATAACCAAACAACCAATCAAAGCATAATATGCTAATGATATATTAACTGCTCGCTATGACGTGCACTGACCACCAGGGGACAGATGCTCCACAGCCTGATCATGCACCAGTGGTGTCCCTCAGCCTGGCCTGCACCCTCTCCCAATCCAGGATCCCCTGGGGGGATGTCAGAGAGCTGGTTTCAGTCCGATCCTGCAAGCCATTCCCCTTGGGAGGGCACCAGATGCAGGGCTCATGGCTAGTATGTGCTGCTGCAGCAGCACAAGCCTCTCCCCAATAGGGCCTGATTGGGCGAGAACCCTCGGCAGGCACAGTGGGGCCCGGATGAGCAGGAGGAGCAGGTAGGAGCTGCAGGCAGTGTTGGACTGCAGATTTCAGCAGATCCCTGCAGGCCACCCAGAGGGACCCCACCTGGGCATCAAATTTGTGCACTGGGTCTCTAGTATTTATGAAAGACGTGTTAAAGAAAACAGGCAGATTCTCCAAGACTAAAGAATAACAATATGGTTGGGGGGGGGGGGGGTGGATAACAGCTCTTACAGTGAGAAACAGCCTTGCCATTGAGTTTATGGGAAGCAGAGCAGAATGGAGAGTTATGGTGTCACCACTGATGAGCACCAAAGGGCTGAATGTTGGGAGGCCTAAAGGTACAGAGTGGAGGTATTTATCAGCCAACATCTTGGGTTTGCAAGCAGGACTATCCAAAAAGACCAAAGAGCAGAGAGAAACACAAAACAAAACAAAAAATAGCAGAGAGAGAGAGAGAACAAGAAGACAAACATGTTAACCAGGATCCAGATGGACAGGGACCCCAAAGCCATAACACAAGCACTACAGGCCTCTCCAGGCCTGCCTGGGGCACCTTCATTCCAATCATATCAATTAACCTGGCAAAGCACTTCCTGCCGGGAGACCAGGCCTGCCTACCTGAGGGTGATGGAGAGTGAGACTGCACGCAGTGATACTGCCAGTCCATCTGGAATGGAGACCCGAGCTCCAGAAGAAAGGCTCCGTGGATACCAGAGGCAGGAAAAAATTTGCAGCCAGCTTGTAACTAACAAATAGATCAAATGGCAGAACAATCCTTATCACACAAGAAAGCACAGGAGCCGGGACCGGTTTGGCTCAATGGATAGAGCGTCGGCTTGGGGACTGAAGGGTCCCGGGTTCGATTCCGGTCAAGGGCATTTACCTTGGTTTCGGGCATATCCCCAGTAGGGGGTGTGCAAGAGGCAGCTGATTGATGACTCTCTCTCATCCATGTTTCTAACTATCTCTCTCCCTTCCTCTCTGTAAAAAATCAATAAAATATATTAAAAAAAAAAAAAAAAAAAAAAGAAAGAAAAGAAAAAGAAAAAGAAAAAGAAAGAAAGCACAGGAACCTCCACAGGCCATGGGGCCACGGTGGCAGGACTAATAGCTAATGTGAAGGACTCCCAATGTTGAAGGGGGAACGCGGTCCGTCATCATCAATAACATTAGGAGAGGATTAAAACAAACACACACACCAGGTCACTTCTCTCCCGCTCCCCCATCCTCCCCTTCTCCCCCCCCCCCCCCCCATCCCTTCTTAGCCTGCAGGGCTTCAGAAGTCAGTTTCTGCTTTAGTGTAACTCAGTGAATCTGAAAGCAATGGCTCCTGCTACTTCCTTCCCAGCAGCCACTCCTGGGGACCCTCTCATGGCACTTCTTCCCCACACAGGCCCAGCTCAGCTGTCCTGAGACAAACACCAGAGAGGGCCAGTGACTGCTCAGGGCTATTCTTAGACTTATGCTCGTGTGCCTGGCTGGCTACCCAGATAAACTCCACTTAAAATGATAAAAATCAGCCCCTTCCCCTCCCTACCTACAGAGCAAGTAGAACAAGATGGGATGGAAACTATTCACTCTGCATCCCCCTCCTTATCTTTCTTCTGGAAAACATTCCTCCACACATTCTGCTTTTGTTCTGCGGACCTACAGCTACAAGTGCTAAAACAGCCATAAGCTAAAAATATTTGAAAGAGCCTTGAAAAGAAGACAGAAATAAGCGATTCTGGCTCTGGGCAGCTAAGCACTCAAAAGTATCATCAATGGCTTCCACATGCCATTGGAGCCACCAGCTATCTGTCTAAAAGGCAACTCTCATCGTGTGCCTGCCTTACAGGAGCTGATACCTGATTACGGACTTGACATAAAATGAGTCCCTGCTCTATAAAGAGGTAGAAACCACCATAGACAAAAAGGCTGGACAGGAAACAATTCATCAGTGAGTCTGTCAAAGACATAAAATATCACTGCTTCAAATCAATACATTTTGGTCAGTGTGGCTCAGAGGTGATACCAGATAAGACAGGCCCCTGAGTCAATGGAGAGGGCTGTCCCCAACCTTGATCCTTGTCTTCTCATACAAATGAATTTATACAAGAGACCCTGACTGAGTTGTGAAAAGCCAATTCATTAAAGCATGCATTTTTGTTGAAAAAAAGGAAAAGCAAAGCAAGCAAACCTGTATATCTGACTTATGAAGCACGGACGGGCTCTCAGCCAATCTGAAGAGCAAGTTGGGTGGGGTCTGAGGCGTTATATACCCTCCTGTCTATAGGCCTCACAATTTCTCTGCTGACTATTTTGGTATATAGACTAATTCTCAAGGTCCCTTTTTAAATTTTGTTGTGGTCTTCCCAGAATTCATGAAAAGTACCTGGTAACTTTATCTTGCCAAGCCTTGAGACTGCTGGCTTCTCTGCTTAGAAGGCCCTGAAACTGCCTCTTTTTTCTTTCTTTCATTCTTTCTTTCTTTCTTTCTTTCCCCTTTCCCCCTCCTTTTCTGCATTCTCTCATTGGGGAGGGTTTTAACCGTTTGCTCTATGTCCTTGGCTGGGAAAGATAACGGCTTGTTAGTTACAAGCTGGATGCAAATTGCCCACACTGTCTGGCCTTGTTTTAACTTTCCTGTCTCAGATTTCTTATTCCTTCTGTCCTGGAATCCTGTAAAAAGGCACATGCCACGGTTTTGGGCTCATTCCCTGGTCCGGGTGTGTCAGGGGTAAATTCAGGAGGCAGCCGATTGATTTCTCTCTCTCACATCAATGTTTCTCTGTCCTTCTCCCTCTCTCTCAAAAGTCAATCAAAACATTTTTAAAATTTAAAAAACCCAATAAAATGTTAATTATGAAAGAAAAATAAATTGCCACTGCTGAGGGTTCTCTGACATCTTCCGATCCACCCTTCTCATCTGACAGAAGATGAAATTGAGGCCCACAGAGAGGAAGGCACTTGTCCAAGACTGAACAGCTACTTAGCTGCACTACACCCCTCATCCCAGGCTATTGCCCCTCTCACCAAGTGTTGAGCTTTTGAAGCAGGCCCCTTCCCAGCAATCTCAGCCACCCAAGCATGCCCATCCAAGGAGGCGCCAGAGCAAACCCCCTTTCAAAATAGGTCCTTCCAGGGGAGAACGGGCTACTTTGCTTTCAAGTGTGGTGAGAAAAAGACTGACCTGGCAGGGAACTGAGGCTGGGTTCTCAGTCCTGCCTCAGACTTTTCACAGCTGTGTGTTCTTGGACAAACCCCTGCTCCTCTCTGGGCCTCCAGTTTTTGTGTTTATTTTTTAATAAGATGGAGGTGAATACTGTCCTAGATGACCTATAAGGCACCTGGACCTGGATTTGGCTAAAATTTGGCAATTCCGTAGTTTTCTGGGAGGAAAGTTCTGGGAAGACCTTTGGGATTGCTTTCATACCACCTCATTCTAGAGCTGCACTCATCCGACAGGAATATATTATAAGCCATACGTATATGATATGTATATAATATTTCTTACAGTCCCACTAAAAGAACAGGTGAAATTAACTTTAATAATATATTTTATTTAATATAGTCAAAATATTATTTCAACATGTAATCAATATAAAACAAATTGTTGAGATATTTTAATTATTTTTCTCACACTAGGTCTTTGAAGTCTAGTGTGTATTTTACTGTTGTGAATGTGGACTAGCCATTTGTCAAGTGCTTCCCAAACACACGTGGCCGGTGGCTACCTGAATAGACAGTGTAGCACTAGCTCAGGAGTGACCTGGGGCCTCACCCTCCTGCGGTCCATTCTAACTCCAAAGCCCACCAATTTTCTTTGTAAAGAAAATAACTAACCGGTTTGGCTCAGTGGGTAGAGCATTGGCCTGTGGACTGAGAGGTCCCAAGTTCAGTTCTGGTCAAGGGCATGTACCTTGGTTGCGGGTACATCCCCAGAGGGAGGTATGCAGGAGGCAGCTGATCTATGTTTCTCTCTCATCAATGTTCCTAATTCTCTATCCCTCTCCCTTCCTCTGTGGAAAAAAAAAATCAATAAAATATATTCAAAAAACAAACAAACACTAAATCATGTCGCTCCCTGTAAGACACCAGCTGAGAGGTTTGCGAAACAGAAGCAAGACACAGAGTCCAGGCGATTAAAAAGGGGGTAGGTTTTTATTTATTTATTTATTTTTAAAATATATATTTTTATTGATTTTTCACAGAGAGGAAGTGAGAGGGATAGAAAGCTAGAAACATCCATGAGAGAGAAATATCCACCAGATGCCTCCTGCACACCCCCCAAGGGGGATGTGCCCGCAACCAAGGTACATGCCCTTGACCGAAATCGAACCTGGGACCTTTCAGTCCGACGCTCTATCCACCGAGCCAAACCAGTTTCGGCAAGGGGGTTAAGTTTTAATCTTGCGCTCCTGGGAGGGTCCGAGGGTGGGCCAGGGAAGTTCTCGCCAAAAAAGCGGCATAGGTACTTCTTTTATACAGCTGTTTGGTGAGGGAAGGGTGGAGGGCGTGAGACGTGTGGAATTCCTGCCTGGGCCGGGGGTCTAAGAAGGCGCCAGCTATCTTTGTCAGCATCTACCTTGCACATGCTTGCATGGGCTCTGGGCTTCCCCCGGCCTCAACCTAACACTCCCCAGCTTAAAAGATCTCTGATATTTCAAGCCTTCACAGGACAAATTCTGAACACCCTGGCAAAACTGAAAAAGAACCTTCACAATCCAGCCCCAAATTTCCTTTTAAACTGTTCTCTTCCCTCCTTTTTCTTTCCATGTTGCGGCCATAGGGGCAGAAACTGTTCTCTCGCCCAACAGGCTTTTTCCTCCTCCGCGCATTTTTCTCTCTCCACTTAGGGATCTCCTGGAAGATACATTCCTCACTCAAGGAGTGCCTACTAAAGGTCAGGCAGCCTGCGGGGCTTTGGACCCAACTCAGAGAGCTACAAGGAACCTTCTATGATCAACTCTTACCCCTCCCCCTCCCCCAGCCTCCAGGACTCTCCAATCCCACCCCGCTCCTCCTCGTCCACCTCGTGGGCTTAGCCACAGCGCCCAGCTGGCTGGGTGGTTTGTTCACGTGTCCTCACAGTGACTGGGAGCGAGCATTCTTGGCCGTTTCTTCAGCGCCTGTCACCCCGTGAATGCTCCATAAACCAAGGAGGATGCATGACCAGTCAACCCCGACATTCTCATCTGGGGAACTGAAGCAGGAAACCAGGATGGGTGAAGGGAACATCCGGCCTGAAAGCCTCGTGCAAGTCTTCCCTGAAAGGCGCGGGGCGCCTAGGAGAGACACACACACACACACACACACACACACACACACCCGGCAGAACGAGGAGACAGGCCCCCGACCCCGCGAGGCCCTAACCAAGCAAGCCTCCCCACCCCCCCAAGCCTCTCCCCACCCCCCAAGCCTCTGCACCCCCTAAGCCCTTCCCCCCCAAGCCCCTCCACCCAAGCCTCTCCCCCCCAAGCCTCTCCCCACCCCCAAGCCTCTGCACCCCCAAGCCTCTGCACCCCCCAAGCCTCTCCACCCCCCAAGCCTCTCCACCCCCCAAGCCTCTGCATCCCCCAAGCCTCTCCCCACCCCCGAAGCCTCTCCATTCCCAAGCCTCTGCACCTCCTCAAGCCTCTGCACCCCCCAAGCCTCTCCCCACCCCCCAAGCCTCTGCACCTCCAAGCCTCTGCACCCTCCAAGCCTCTGCACCCCCCAAGCCTCTCCACCCCCCCAAGCCTCTGCACCCCCCAGCCTCTGCACCCCCCAGCCTCTGCACCCCCTCAGCCTCTCACCCCCCCAGCCTCTCCACCCCCCTAAGCTTCTCCACCACCCAAGCCTCTCCACCCCCCAAGCCCCTCCACCCCCCAAGCCCCTCCACCTCCAAGCCCCTCCCCGCCAGCGTGGCCGGGCCAGACCCAGGGGCGCACGGGGCGGGGAAAAGGGAGCACGTGCGCGCAGGAGACGGTCAGCAGGGGGCCTCCCAGCTTGGGACGCGGAGGCAACAACCTGCCAGGAGCCGCTCGGTGGCGGGAGGGGCGGCGGCGCGGCCGGAACTACAAGTCCCAGGGGCGGCGGAGAGAGAGGCGGAAGGGACGGCCGGGGGCGGGCCGGGCTGGGGCGGGCGGATCGCGGCTGCAGGGCGGCAGGGCCACGTTCTGGCTGCTGGCACTCCAGGAAGACCATGTCCGGGGGCAGCAGCTGCAGCCAGACCCCGAGCCGGGCCATCCCCGCCACCCACCGCGTGGTCCTCAGCGACGGCGTGCAGCTCCCGCCCGGGGACTACAGCACCACCCCCGGCGGCACGCTCTTCAGCACCACCCCGGGAGGTAGGCGCCGGCTCGGGGGTCCGGGCGGGCGGGCTGGGGGTGGGGAGGACGGTACGAGCCGGCCCAGGGGCGCGGGGGCTGGGAAGCACGAGGAAGGGGTTTGGGGGGCGCAGCGCGGGTCACGGAGAGGACCCCGGGGAGCGAGCGAGTGGCCGCGTCCCGTTGCCTGCTGCTGTCTGGGCGCGTCCTGCAGAGCTTGGGGTTGCAAACCGCCCCATGAGGTCCCTCCTTCCGGGAGATGGCCGCGCGCCCCCCACCCAGACAGACAGGCAGGCTGCCAGGATTGCCACTGGCCGAGGCGTGCTGCATGCGCCTTGTGGGTGCTGGGGGCAGTTCGCAGGCGTTAGGATCAGGGTACCCACGGATCAAGGAAGAGGACTGGCCTGGGGATTGGTTTTTTTGGGGGGATTTTTTTTAGGGGGGGGTGAGAGTTTCTCTGTGGGGATACATGCCTCATGTAGAGTCCTTTTTCCTTCCCGAGGTCCCCCCAGTTTTGCGTCCGGAGGTTGGGGGCTGAGGGTGCCCGCCTGCTCCGGCAGCCTCGCCGCCACCTGTGGCAGATTGCCCACCTACGTGTGTGGGAGCTCCGCCGAGGGACCCGGGGTGCGGGCAGGGCTGTGCAGACAAACACGTCCCTCCCTACGGGGGGGGGGGGGGGGGAGACCGTGTGACCTCCCTAAGAGTGGATGAGGAAGAGGAAGCTGAGTTGGCACGGGCTGGTGCCAGCTTTGGGCTGCCCTCCGCAGCCAGGCATTCCCTCCCAGCCCCGGAGCCCCGGCGCGGAGGCGCTGATGAAACCTGCCCGCTTGTTTGCATAATGAAATCCTCCTCCTCGTGGCTCAAGTCCCTCCCATCCTCGTGTTGCCCTCACCTCTTTTGCCCTTCCTCCTCCTATACCCCCCCCCCCCCCCTCTGCTGTTTCTGCCCAAACTGCTAGAAAACGGCCACAGATCCTGGGCGGCGCTGAGACAAGGGTGCGGGCGAGCGGGGGCGGGGCGCAGCCGCATCTGCCAGCGTTTGGGGCCACAGGCTCATTTTTCCAGGCAGCTGTCCCTCCACCAGCCAGCGCTGGGGCTGTTGGATACAAAACATGCAAAGTTAGAATCGTTAGGGCATCTTAGATGCCACCTTCTTCCACAGACCACGGCACCGAGGCCCCAAAGCTTAAGAACACGCGTCTATTGTCCAATTTTACACTTTTCCCAAGCTGAGCAAGAAATAGCAGCCAGATGCATAGTGGGAAAGCTGCTCTCTCTCCTTTTAAAAATGACCCCAGGAGCCGAAACCGGTTTGGCTCAGTGGATAGAGGGTCCGACTGCTAAAAAATGATGTTTCTATCCTACTGAAAGGTCCAGGGGCACGTACCTTGGTTGTAGGCACATCCCAGGTGGGGGGTGTGCAGGAGGCAGCTGGTCGATGTTTCTCTCTCATCGACGTTTCTAACTCTATCCCTCTCAATTCCTCTCTGTGTAAAATCAATAAAATATATATTTTTAAAAATGACCCCAGGAAAAGTTCCCAGGGACTCTTCCTGCCACTCGACTCAAATTCCCTTCCCGGCCCGCCCTTATGTTTGTAGTCCATGCTGCTGTGCTTTGTCTGGGTCCTGATGTATCTTTCAGGGCCTCGCCCAACAGTTGGGGGGATTTTCTCGAGTGAGGGTGTGAGTCTGCAGTTCAGGGTGGACACTGAGGCAGGCCTGAAGGCTCAGGAGGCCCTTTAGTGCCAGAAGGGGGAAGATCAGACTGGAAGCAGTACCCAGCAGGGCTGTTCATGGGGAACTCTCCGCTTCTGCTTTGGACTGGGAAATGGGTGTTTTTTGGCAGGCCACAGCAAACCCTCCTTTCTTTGAGGGTCTTTAGTTGGGAGAGAGAGGACGAGGCTTTTGCCTCGGAGTGTAACCAGGAAAAGCTAGCAGGGCCAGGAGCCTAAAGACCAGTCTTTCTTGTCTGGGGTATCCAGTGGGGCAGACACAGCTCACAGTCAGTAACTGGAGAAGCCTGGCTTGCCTCTGCCCCCTCTAGCCACGGGGTGAAATCTTCCTCCAAAACACACTTTACCCTAACCCCTTTGCCAGAGGGCAGAGAAGCTTGAACTAATGAGAAAGGGTCATTCTGTTTCATGCTATTTTCAGTCTTCCAGGCGCAGGCAGTTGAGTTACTGGGACCTCATTTAAATGCAGATTCTGATTCTGTAGGTTCTGGGGTAGGGTCTGAGATTCTGCATTCCTAATTAGCTCCCAGGGATTGCTTTAAACACCACACAATAGTCCCTTCCTTATCCATGGCTTCACTTATCTTGGTTTCTGTGATCCACGGTCCAAAAAGATTTAGTGGAAAGTTCCAGAAATAAAAAAGTAGGTTTTACATTGCACCTCATTCAGATCACGATGAAATTTTATGGCATCCTTCTCTGTGCCACCCGGGTAGGGAATCATCCCTTTGTCCAGCATATGCACGCTGAACATGCTATCCGCCTGTTCGTCACGTAGGGTTTGATACTGTCCGGGGTTTCAGGCATCACTAGAGGTCTTGGGATGTGTCCCCCCCTGGATAGCAGGGGGCTACTGTACTCAGAAATTAGTGAAACAAGACTTCCTCACCTTTTCACACCTTGGGGTCTGGAAAAAAAAAAATGAGCTTCTATCCAGGTAAACTTTTCTTGAAGTCGGGTGTGGCATCAATCTTTAAACCAGGGTCTGGAGAGAGAGTCTGCGTAAGGGCCTGCACTCACTCACAGGAGATGCCAGGAGCTATTGAAGGAAGTGGCCCGCAGTCACTCTTGGTGAATATGGTACCGCCGTGTTTGTCCCTGGAGGAAAATGGGTGGCCATCTTCATTCCAGTGACTCCAGTTTACTTTCCAGGGTCATTGATCACATCAACACACGCGAGCACACACACGCGCGCGCGCGCGCGCATACACACACACACACACACACACACACACGAGCTGAGCCACTGATCTGAAGTTAAATGTCTGGAGAACATAAGAGGAATTTGCTGAAGGGAGTATGGTTTATGAATATTTGAGCCCATGGAGTCTTGAAAATGTCCAGAGCACCACAGACCAGCAGAACGTTTGGAATGGGTCAGAAGCTTTCCTCTATTCCACCCCTTCCTAATCCCCCTCCATGTTCCCAGTTCCATGTTAGACATATGACCCCAAAGCCGACAGGGGGTTGCTTGGGTAGGAGTCGTACGTAAGCCCTATGCCTGGATAAACTTCACCAGAGGTCAGCAGGTAGGGCTGCAGGTGTTAATGACACCTTGTTTGGTTAGACAGACTGTGTGCCCAGGAAGCTTACCTTGGAGCGGCTCCCAAGCGTTGGGTTATGGAACAGAGTGCCGGGAAGAGGGGGAGGTCACCGGGCACTGAGGCTGGAGTCCCGGTGTCCCGAGGCCTTAGTCACACAGAGGACACTACATCTCACTGTTAAGGACAGGTTAAAAGTAGTTGGACATTGCCGAAACCGGTTTGGCTCAGTGGATAGAGCATCAGTCTGCGGACTGAAAAATCCCAGGTTCATTTCCGGTCAAGGGCATGTACCTTGGTTGCAGGCACATCCCCGGTGGGAGGTGTGCAGGAGGCAGCTGGTCCATGTTTCTCTCTCGTCGATGTTACTAGCTCTCTATCCCTCTCCCTTCCTCTCTGTAAAAAACACAATAATATATATGTTTTTTTAAAAAGTAGTTGGACATTATGGCAGTGAGGGAAATACAGTAAGCCTCTTTTCTTTCTTAATTTATTTTTTTCCATTGATTAAATTTTTTATTTATTTAATTCTTTATTGTTGAAAATATTACATGTCTCCCTTTCCCCCCATTGACCTCTCCCAGCACGCTCCCACCCGCAGCACAAGATGGGCCTCTTCACACCGACCTGAGCTTCCTTTTAAAGCATTTAGAACATCCCTCACTATGTTCTCATTGGAGACTTTGATGGGGTCTTGATTGTAGAGCACCCCAAACTCCCTCCGATCCCCACGAACCTCCCTGTCTTTGAGACATTTACCACATCCAGAACTGAAATTAGTCTGACCTCAAGGGGATTGGGTTTCTACTTGAAGAAGATGAAGATATACTTGAAGTAGAATTCTAAGCATCCAAGTTGTATCTGTAGAATGAAGCAATTAGACAGACACACACCCCCTCCCCCAACCCTGTGACCAGTAGAACTTGTATGATACTCAGGTGAGAAATGCCCACTCAGAGCTGTCACCCTGGTAAGCTTCACATTCTGACAGTGCAGACATAGCTGTTGGGTGGTAATTGCATTCAAAGGTTTACATATTTTTTTTCCAATTATCCTCAAAGGTGGTGGGGCTTATTGTTTATAAGAGGAGTTTGATTTTCTTTTTCCTGGAAGAGCAAAAGGTTTTATTTATTTTTAATTTTTAAATATATTTTAATGATTTTTTTTTTTTTTACAGAGAGGAAGGGAAGAGGGAGAGAGAGCTAGAAACATCGACCAGCTGCCTCCTGCACACCCCCTACCGGGGATGTGCCCGCAACCAAGGCACATACCCCTGACCGGAATCGAACCTGTTTCCCTTCAGTCCAAAGGCCAACGCTCTATCCACTGAGCCAAACCGGTTTTGGCAAAAAGTTTTATATTACCAAATTTGGTGAAAGGGCCAGCAGGGTGGCACCATCTTTATCCGTTGGTAGTAGGGCATTTTCTCGTAGGGGGTTTTAATCAGTGTTCTTCCAGAAGAGGAGTTAGGAAGGAGATTGTACTGAAAAAATGGGTTGTTTCCCAAGGAAAGTTTTTAATGAAAGTGGTTCGTTTGTACACATAGATTCTTGCATGCTCAGACAAATGAAAAATGTGTTACTTTCTGGTCTTCCCTCGATCCATGCCAGTGTTTTTTCTCGATTATGATTCATAATAAATGAATCATGTGTATTTGTTTACGTGTTTGTGCCCTAGGTTGGCCCAGGATCTCTCTCAGAGCTGTCTTACTCATCTCTGTGTCTCCACAAGTGAGTGCCAGGTCTG